CAATATTTAGAAAGTCATAAAAAGAGTCCAACGGGTGAGACTATTGCACCGTCGTCATCTTCTTTGCTATCATGGTGGGATCGTGAACGGTCCCGGATCATGTGTACGACAGCTGTTCTCGTATCAACACCCTGGTCCTTCACACTCGCAAGAATAGTTGAGCGATTGTTTCCAGGTTAGTACAAACGAAGATAATCAACAGACAACAAATTTAATATCCTAAAATCTTAGTCGACGTACATATGTTTTCCTTTACACATAAAAGAATGCGAATTTTTCGGATGTGATTGATAAAAAAATCATATTTCGAAGTGAATTACCTCATTTAAAGTACAATGGAATGATTGAAGTCGGAATTGCATTAGAAATATGGTGGCACAGTATATTCATTTTCATCTCAGTTTGGAAAATAATTCTGTTTCGTTTATTTTGTAACTAAAATCATTTCTCTACCTTTTATCTTTTTATATTTTGAACAGGTAAACAAGGTATTCAGATTGCAAAGAAGATGCTGACCAATACATTACTTGCACCTCTTAATATAAGTATCGTCTTCACATGTGTTATCCTTCTGCAGGGTCACACTCTTCGTACAGCTAGAAAAAAAATTAAACATGATATGCCAAAAACGTTTGTAGCTGGAACATGTTATTGGCCATTCGTTTCATTTATTAACTTTCGTTTTATACCATTGAATTATCGACCGATTGTTGGGAGTCTAGCTGGAGCTATATGGAACATTTATATCTCGTCAGCTGCTAATAATCCAAAATTAAATCCAGATGGTACTATAAAAGCGAAAGCAGGAACAGAAACAACCTTATTGGCTGAAACAAGTGGAACGGCAGTGCCAGCATTACAAGAAGCATGGAAGACATTAGACAATAATAAAAAAGATCTGTAGTTCGTTGAATACGACTCTAGTTGAAATTCTAATACTCGTAATTACTCTCGCTTGGTAGACAAAGATCAGCATGTCGATAAAAAATTTAATTTTTTCTACCTCATACTCTTTGTGAAATGAAGAGGTATAATTTATTCAAGCCTTGTACAAAAGATTTTTAGATTAAGAAAAATAATCGTACCTGTGCAAAATTATAATTATAGTTTCTATGTTTTCATTAGTAATCAGTTGATCGTTTCGTCAAAAATAAAAAATCTACGTCAGAAATATCACTTTGAACAATGTATTGTAAAATAAGAATCAGTCAAAGGAACATGGTTCGTTTCAGTTTGACATAGATCAGATCATTGGTATTACAGATCATTTTCCATATTCAAAAATACAACATTGGCATTAGTTTTAGTATGAAAATTTGGTGTTTCTTGCACAAAACTTAAACAAACGAGTGAAAATAAATGAAAAAGTCATGTGCTAATTTCTTTTTGAATCCTGCATAGAATAGATGTGAAAACACTCACAAAATTGGAATATTAGTGCAAGAAATTTCTACGAAAGTACTGATACTTAGTTTTTCTTGCTCTAATTCACTATCCATGTATATCTTTGAAAAACACCAACTTTTTTATGTCAGTTAAATATTTTTGGCGAAGAGTTTTTCTGATACTATCAGTGGTTAAAAAAACGTTATGTAAAATAACGTTTTGAAGCATCGTCATATAGTAATAGTATTTATAGGATTTGTATGAAACTAGAAAAGGTTAACGATATAGTTTAGAATTTTTGAACACAGCATTCGGAACGGAAAAAGATCAATTTTTGAATTAAAATTATAAACGAAAATTTAAATCTCTATCAAGTCGTAAATGTCTGAAAAATGGTGTATAAACACTGATATTAAATACTATAGAATTCGAATGACTTCAATTGAAAATTCACATATCTATTGAAAGATAAGATCGAATAGTTATTACTACAAATATTTTACTCATATTTACCTAAATATCAAATCTCTAAAAATGAATTAATGATTCATTTAGTATCGAAATCTTATGCAAAAACTATCAATTTTCTAATTTGAGTAGTGCTCTGTTTTAGTTCAATTCAGAGCTGTCTGCCTAGCCTGCTGCCTGGTAGACTACTAGGCCAGGCTTAACTTTGGAATCTTCGCCTGATCTGATCCGTCCGTAGGATATTCGGCCTGATATGTAGGCAGGTAGGCCAAGGTTGCTGGCCTGGTCCCGATTTAATACGAATTTTGTTACTAAAATCCTTTAAAAATAAGGCGATGTCGTATGTTAATAATATTAAAGAAGAACTTTCGACTATCGTAGATGAAAGACGGTTTGTTAGAGTGAAAGAAGGATGATAATAGCTACGAGATATTTATTTCAACAAAAATAAATGAACAAACCTAGTTTTCAGTCGAAAAACAAAACTCTTTTCTTTGTTTTCTCACACTTTTCTTATACTTACAATAGACGTATTGGCGTTGTCAATCAAAGAGATGGCACATTTTCATATGAAATGAAAGCTCTCACTGCCAAACTAATAAGGTTAAAAGAGTAGTTGCCATTGCAATGCCTAGAGCGAGATATTCGATTTTTACGGTGGGTGGGTGTGGGTGTGGGGTGCGGGTGTCGGTGGGGTGTGGGTATCGGTGGGTGTGGGTGTGGCTTAAAGTATTATCCACACCCACACACCCACACACCCACTCTTCTGCTACGCTAATACTTTATTTTTTAATTAAAATGAAAAAGACAAATACAGATAAAATTTGGATTTTCATACAAATTTCAAGACAGTCACATAAAGTTGTTTGTAAAAAACACTGCATCAAGCGGTTCAGATTTATTCTAATGAAGTTATCGAGTAGGTGATTTCGAACAAATAACAGATGACCACACTTTGTACGAGGAACCAGAAGACAAAAGTCAAGAAAAAAAATATTCATATTATATTTGAATAGCTTCTTGTGCATTTTCAAGTTACCATCTGTGAGATCTGTCGAGATGATTAAGTAGGTCGTTCTCCACTAGCATGACAACAATTGTGAGCATAGACTATTTTTCTCTCATCAACGGTCTTTAAATTTCAAATGTCCTTATCAAAATTATTGAACATTATTTATTTGCAAAGCATCGGTTTTATTTTCTTATATTCATCTGTACGTTTTTTATTCGAAACATGTTTCATTTCATGAGAAGCACTATCGAAATCGTGTTACTTTAGATAAGTTACTTCCGTTCTTTGATTATTATCTCCTCAATGATCTGTCTCGCGTTTTGTACTATTACTGGAAGTGCAACATCAATTTTTTTCTTTAAAACTGAAGCACTACAATTTAAGTTTATGATGAGTGTGTGAATGATTGTTACAAACTGGTTCATATTTGTTTCTTTTAATGAATGTCTACAAGTGCACGGTCACGTTCTCTCACATCAGCTACATACTCACACTCCTTTCCGAAGGATAAAAAGAGTCATGACACCATGCACCCTTCTCACGTTCACACCGCCAATATTTACAGCTGATCCCAACTCCCGAGTTGTAAAAGTTAGATTCGTATCCTCAATAAACTTAATGCGACAAAAATTAAATGGTGAAACTATGTGACTGACTAAATTTCCGGGATAGAAAAGGCTCAATCTAAATTGCTTCTTTGAACTCTCACAATTATATAAGTACTTGTCAGTTCACACTAGCAAGCAAACATGCTACGAAGTATACAAAGCTTGTGCTTTTGCTTATAATTCTTTCTAAGGTTAAGGGTATATAGACTATTTTGGGCAAGGTTGTAGATAATTAAAATTGAAATTCAAAATTATAAAGAAATTCTATTTAGAAATATGAAGATTGATCGATCATCGATTCAATTAAAACATTCTATGATTTTAAAATAAATCTTTAAAAAGATGTCTAAGTACATAGAAAGCCTTTGATCACATTAGAATGTTACAAGAAGATTTTTTTCTTTCTTGGTATTCTAAAAAATCAGAAATAAAGCTTTCGTTTCTGTGGTTTTTGAATTTCATCATAGGAACCATATTTTAAATCAAATTACATTTTTAAACGGTAATAATCTCTCTGTAGATTTATTCCATGATTCTGGTACTCTTCCAATTACATTATCTGTGGTCCTAAAAAGTACCATTTATTCCTTTATTATAAAGGATAATAAAGATAAAGGGTCACCGCTAATCACATTCTTGATGATAAATAAGTAAAGAGGATAAGAGTGCTGAAGAAAAGAACGAAGTTGGATTTCTCATCACTAACACTGATCTAACCATTTATTGTCGAATTTTTCTTCAAAGCGAAGATTTCTTTTCAATAGATTGAAGAAAAATATTTGTCTTATATCTTTTTCCAGAAAAAAATGCTTGATACATTCTCTCATTTGACTAAATTGGAGAAAAGTGTATATGACATATTCTTCCAATATCATAACATTGATCAATCGATATATTAATTGTTAATATCTGTCGTGTCAAAGTTTCATCGTTTGAGTTCACTCCATCTATCCCTATGTAATGATGTTGGTAATATTCAGTCTCATTTACAAGTCTTCTGACGCAAAGCAGCTCGTATCTATCGAATTTAGCTGCAGATATATTATTAAATCATGTCATATGTAGATTGACAATCCAGTTATGAATGTTTCAATGAAAAGAAATGTACTACATTGAGTATTTATTGTGAAGTTCTTTCAATCGTATTCAAAAGTGAGCACCTTAATTATATCTTGCACTTTTTATCATGCAAAATCTTCGCATCTTAAATATTCATTGTCGAAATTGATATTCATTACATGTAGAATCTCAGAAACTGGAAGTGATTTAATTCAGTAATAAATATGGTACATCAGTTACGCTCATGTATTTCTGCAGTCGGAATCCAATCAGTTTCATTCACCTTTGTAACTTAAGTTTATTCAAGAAACAAAAACTATTGATATCAAATAAGAGAACTGATTAGAAATTCATGACGACTTGCGAGAGTAGATGTAAAGATTAACAATAGCGAAATTACATGCAAAGAAAACAACGAGAATCAATATTATATGCCATGATTTGATTATATAATATGTTTCTTTCTTTTACGATTTATCGATAATGTTCTCATTGGTCCATGGAGGTGGTACAAATCCTTTGACCATATTCCAAGTGATAGCTATAAAAAAAAGAATTAGATAATTATCAACAAATATAAGGTTATTTCTTAAGAAATTTAATCCATGCGATTTATTGTCATGAAACTATTATAGTAACAAGCTTACAGTGGAATAGCGTCCATGTTTTTCTTTACGTTTACTATTGTTGTATGATTTTTATTTCGAACATCTTTACAAAATGGTTTTAATTAATTAAGTGCTTGAAAACGATTAATTTGTTTTTAATTGAAAAGAACAATTGATGTAAATTGTTAATAAATTTATTGACAAGTCAAAAAAGAGCTAAACTTACATTTCCATTTCTCAGTTGAATATGTCGCATCTTGATATTCATCGATGAAAAGTTCCGAAGACGGCTCATCGATTGGATCATGGTACATTTCAAAGTAAGGATCATCTGTTCAAAAAAGATTCATTTGATATGCTACGCTTATTGATTTACGTATATTAACTTAGCAATTCTTCAGCAGTCGGACGCATGCAATGATTCAACAAAAGTAAACGATCAAGTAAGGTAACACCTATACATTAGTATATAAAGATTCTTTTCATAAGTTAAATGACAGTTTTACCTTGTGAAGAAACACCGGAAACTGGTGTTTCACTGCCTTGATTATACTTATAGCCAAATAGTTTTTCGTAATCTTGCTTTGATTTGCGAGATAATGTTTCACAGTATTGACGTACAACTAAAATAGATAATTTTCAATGACTGATTATCATTTTTATCAGCAATCGATAAAACTTCGAATTAGTGGTTGGACGAATACAAGTATAGCAAGTACAAGTAAAATACTAGGTACTTAAAAAATGTCCTCTGTAGTTTACTTAGATACTTTTTACTTGAGTACATTTTACTCAGTACGTGTACTAAGTATGATTGTACTCAAGTACAGTAAATTAAGTACAATATAGTACTTATAACTACGATGAGGCATAGCTGGGCATTTAACACATTAATATTGATATTTGAATGTATGACATACACCTAATATTAACAATTTAGTGACATCTATAACAAAATATATCTGAATGATGATTAATACGACAGTTCTACATCATTTATAATTATTAATTTTAATTATTGATTGTATTGTACCGTAATCATACGTGACAATGCTTAATACAGAGTAATCAAGAGGCTATGGTCGTGAAACATTTATTCGGAAATAATAGATCAGCCGTTCATGCATTTTGAACCTTTTCATATCTTGACGACCAGCGCTCCACTATAACATCAGGATAAAAATGGTGTGAAGTCTGATATTTTCGAAACTGTCCGTTATTTAACTAGCTCATCATATGACTTCCAAATAAGCCTTAAAACATTTATTGATGTATGAAAGATTTTAAGAAATAGATGCTATAAAATTGCATGGGTATGAATGATCAAAACGGAAAAACCAAGGGTCAAAAATAGTCAGTTCCGAATTCCGTAAACTCCAAATTGGAGCTGATTTTCGCGCATTACATATTTCGCCAACTAACATCAATCCATATTTTATATTATAAAGATACTCATAGATCCGCAAGGCCTACCATATAGAGTATCTAAAGGTCTCAAAAGCTCATCATATAAGACTGGCCAGAGCCCACCAAGACCCATAATACAAAGGTGCTTACAGGCCCTCAAAGCTATCATACAGGGTTGGCTTGAGTCAAAAACATGCACTTCAAACTCTGGAAACTCCGAATTTGAAGGTAGATTTTCCTTCAGTTCATACATTACCAATTAACATCAGACAATGTTTTATACCATGAAGGTACCCATAGATCCTCATAGGCTATGATATAGGAGTGCTCATAAGCCCTGAAGGATATCATATGGAGATACACTAAGTGGGCACATTCTCATTTCTTGAATTCCTTGATCTCTTTGATCTCTATTCATTTCTCTGATTTCTAGTGATTTGTAGTAGAAATCCGGATTGATGGAAACAACATTATTTTTCATCATTATTACAAGGACAAAACATGGAGTTCTTCGTACCATATAAAAGAGTGTCTTAGAGAACTCTTAGATTTGCTCGAATCGCACCATATTTGATACTTAGTATAGAGAAGAGAAATCTTCGTGAAATCTGATTCGTTGTCGATAAAAGTTCTCGAGTAATCAGAATCTAGTAAGTCTTTCTCCACTGTACTAAGAACAAATTGTAATGTTTTTTGTAGCAATGTAGGGTTCTCTAAGATGCTCTTTCATATAGTCCGAAGAACTCCGTATTTTGTCCGCACAATAATAATGCTAATTAGTTGAATACTTAGGCAAATTAAGACTAATTACTTGAGTACTCGATGGTGAATTAGCACTTATTGGTCAATCTCATTTTTTCTTGGTATCGTAATTGGTAAAAGATGGACTGGGTATTATGTGTAAACTGTGGATACGAAAGTGAGCTTCAAATTTAGAGTTTACATGTGAAACTCACTATTTTTGACCAAAACCACTGGCTATTCAAAAGACATTAATTTATAGTCTGAATATTAAAATACTATGAAGGTTGTGTAGATATTTCTGAGAATATCAAATACTCATTCAGAAGAATATATTGACAACTCATTAAAGTACATTTTGTACTAAAATAGTAGTACTTCAGTAAATTAGCAATAAGTACCGGTGCTTAAGTAATCGAGATTATTGAGTAAAAGTACCAAAAGTACTAAGTATTTTACTCAGTATTCAATCACTGATTCGAATCAAGATAAAAGCTTTCTGGTTAGTATGAAAGCAGTTTTAGAAGATTATTTTATATCATTCGAACTTGTTTAAATTATACCTGAAGGCATATTCATCTCGTCTAACGTTTTTGAATCAGGTGTTCCAGTAATATCAAAAATTTTTGTCAATTGATCAGATTGACTTGTACCAGGAAAAAGTGGCTGTCGAACAATTAACTCAGCCATAATACAACCGACAGACCATATATCAACTTTTTCATTGCAATGCTCCGGATTGATGATCATTTCTGGTGCATACCATCGCCGATATATATCGCTCTCGTTGTATAGCCAGCTACAAAAAAAAGACAATATCTTTGATGCATTTGCATAGAATGAAAGACGAGATTTATCTGACTGTTCATCATATTTCCTACGAATATGGGCTGTAGCGGCAGAATCCCAACCAAAAATCTAGAATTAAAACATTCTACACTAATAGGAATGTCATTTTCTCTGTAAATATTCAAAATAATGTTTCGACATTATTACTTTTACAGTGCCCATTTCAATAGAGAAACTAGTCAATTGTTTTGAAACAAAATTGAGAATGTAAAAAATTGTCAAAAAAAGTCTTCTAATGATTCTCGTGCACTATAAAAACAATAATTAGATCTATTGATGGTAAAATGATATAATTACAGTTCTTAGTTTATGTTAAAATAAGCATGAAGTTTGGCAAAATTTTCAAGGTCAGAAAATTTTCATTCACATAACAGATCAAAGATAGACAAATAAAACTCATCTAATTGAATATATACACAACTTACTGAGACATTTGAATCTTTGTCGATACCAATATTAGATGAGATTATTCTCTACAATATATATATACATATGCTTGTTATACATTAAACTAATATGACGACTTACACTATGAATGATTCCAGCAGAATGAATGAACTAAAATAATATCAGCATGATATTTTATTTTTGTATTTGATACAAAGGTTTCATACTTTCAAACCACGAAGAAGACAATAGATGACCATTTTAATATGATCTTCAGTAACGACAACGTTGCTGTAGATAACTCTTTTTAAATCATATTCGACATAATTCTCTACTAAATATCTTAAAAAAATAAATTAACAACAAGTGCTTCTAAGAGAATACATCGATATGGCTTACATACAAGGTTTCAAAGTTGTTGAGGTCTTTCTCAGGTGTAAATACATCATATAATTGTGCAACCTACAATAATCAATGAAAATATTAATAACAATAAAATGTGCAAATATTCAAACAATTTACCTGTGCATCGAAATGATTGAGATGAATGCGTAGTTTCAATTCTCGATAGGTTCGATGTGCTCTTGCAACACTGTCGAATGGTTTCAATATCTTTCTAATGGTTACTTTTTTACCGGTATTCTAATAAAATATTGTCATCCTAAATGTATACAGATCAAACATACTTTATGCTTAATACGCACAGTGTCAGTAGCATATCTAGAATCAGCAACAAACAACACTCGATTATGATCAAATTTGCTTAAAAATGAACTTACGTAACAATGTCGTGACTATTATATTCGAAGGGACTGAGGTTTTGATAACGTTTAGGTACTGTAAATTGTGTGAGACTATGTTCCACAGTATGCCATTCTCTTTGATCGTCATTGTCTGCCATGCCTGTTACTATTTAATTAGAGAAGGAATACTGAAAATATGTGTAGTGATATAGATGACAAGTACGTCATAGTTGAAGAAAAGCAAAAAAAGAACGAAATATCCAATGTAAGGGAGTTACACTATTACACAACTATTGATGAAAATAATTGATAAAATCGTGAAAATCAGTGAACAGGTTTCTAAGAACATATCCTATAGGTTTACTCGACAAAAGATAACAACATACTTCAGTTTATATAATCCACAACGCAGATATTCTTCACTCGAGAAGAATTGGAGAAAAAAATTAATAATAAAAAAATAAAGAATAACATATTAACGAAGCAATTTATTGACTATATTGTGTTGCAACACATGTAGTTTCTTTCTTTTTCTCCCATTCTTTTCAAAACACAAAAAAACGAGCGGAAGAACGAAAAAAAGAAGACGAGAAAGAAAAGCAAAAGTAAATATACCAATAAACTATATATCAGTATGAAAAATATTTCCTACATTTCAGTTTCAATCATAAAAGAAAGCGTATGAGGATGGAACCTCGGATGACGAAAATGTAGATTTGAAGCGTCATATGTAGACGGAACATTGATATGAATTTGACTTATTTTGGCAATTTGATCGGTAGGTTTTAAAAAATTTGGTTTGTAGATGTTTTCATTTTTTTTCAAACATTGTAATAAGTTATTTTATGATTTTTGTGTCGTTTGCAACAATAAAGTTATGAATTGAATGTAATTATCACAGTTATCAGTTCTAAATGTCCCTTCTACACTATGTACTGATCTAATATTTGTTGAATCAATATAGACACAACAACAAAATTTAGTCAAACATTCTTCTCTTATAATTAAATTACTGAAATAATAGTGACCCTTTATTTGTTGTCATCAGACATTTAATGTTTCAAGTTCTTTAGAAAAAACAGAGTGTTTGATATCTGTTGTAAAAAAGAGGATACAATCGATGAGCATTCCAACTCTTATGTGATGCTCTCCTCGAATGTCTAATTTAAAACCATCGATATGAATATTAGTGACAAGTTGAAAATCACATTGTGAGAGTGAGCAAAAGCTATCACAACATACTTTTGCTGCAAGGATTTTTGATTGCTTTGAAATGTGGTATCAACCAAAAATTCACCAAAAAGTATCTCATAAGACTTTACAGCAGAAACTGAACAAAGAATGCTGAATTCATCGACTTTCTGTTAGAAAATTGACGAATTGTTCTTAAAAGACGGGTTTCTACCAAAACTCGCTACGACATTGAAAAAAAATTGGCAGTAAGGAGACCATGTTTTCAAATTTTAGCGGGGCCGGAGGGGGAGGGGAAGCCATCTCCATTTCTCTACTCTAATCGAGGGTGTGGGTGGGTGTGGGTGTGGGTCTGAGTGTGGATATTTTATTCCTACTCACACCCATACCCACACCCACACGCATACCCCACCCCACACCCATCATTACAAAAATGTAATAAATAAAGGAATATATATGAATGGGATGTTGAGCAGAGTTGCATTGCAGAATTTGTAAAATTTGGAAACTATATCAATCACATACTCATTGGCAAACATCGATGTACAGTTGAAAAACTTTCATTGAAAGATACAGCTATGAAAATGTATCATTCAAAATCAGAAGAAGTCGAAAATTGACGATTAATATCTATTGATATGAAGTTAACGGAAGTAATCGATGATGAAACCAGTTCTCTTCCGTAAGGTTGGGCTTTGCCTATACGCAAACCGAACACAGATTTTTCAGATAAACAACGTGAATACCTCCAAAAGAAATTTGATGAAGGTGTTTCCGGTGTAAAACATTGGAAACCGAAAGAGGTGGTGTTAGATACGGAAAGCTTGAAAGAAAACGGCAAGTTTTATTTTTCGGCTAGCGAAATTTTAAATGACGATCAAGTTTGATCGTTTTTCTGCCGACTAAAACGTGAAGAACAGATGATTGCCACGCGAAATTCGTCAGCTGGTAAAGTTGTCAACAAAGACAAACTTGTCAAATATCCTAGTCATGATAATGACAATGAAGAAATTGAAGCAGAGATAAAAGCATCAGAGCAAGACTTTCAAGATATTGAGATTGCTCTCCAAGAAATCAAAATACTAGAAATTTTTACTATAAATGCTAAAATAGAACTTGAATCATCTCTTTTGATGAATTTCTCAGATGTCACTTCCTCTGCAACATTTAAGAAAAACAAATAAAACATAAAATGAACACGGGTATAAAGAATTAGATCTACATTATCATAAATAAACGGGTACAGGTTTACCGAATTTTACCTGCATGAAGATAATAAATCGCCACGGGTTTTCCGAATAATGCCATTGAATAATATTGTTTGTATAAGTGCGAGCTTTCCAAGTAACACTCATAAACAATAAGAGGACATGACTTTTTCGAGTATTGTCTGCTCTCTTCAACCAGGATGGGCTCTATGTGCCGAAGAGGAGAAACACGGAAAAGGTTTTCCTTAACTGTGGCCAACTATCCTGCGTCTTGTATGAGGTAAGTAGGAAATATTTAAATAATACTTGAATTGCTAATAAAGGTTCAATGGATATTAACGGTGTTGTAAAGTATTTCCATCTCTTTTTGCATGACGAGATGTCTGCCTTAGATTAGCTAATCCATCTTACCTTTATAAATTACAACAAGTGTTAATTCATTAGTTTATATAGACTATATATTCATTGAAACATATCGTACTTATATGAAAAATACTCCAAATACTTCATAACCTACTCAAACTTCTATTTTTCATCAAAAAATCATATTCATAATAATCTTTTCCTATAAATGTGGTCTGGCTGGTCAACATTGTAAGCCATTTTTCGACACCATTAGACGCTTTTTTTAAAACTTTTTTTTACCATTTTGTAGAGGAAAAAAGTTATACAACATATGTGAAATTCAGTCTGAGGACCCATAGAATGGCTGAATAGTAGCGGATATACTGAAGATAGGTGACACATTTTTTACTCAAAAAATTGTCAATCTTAGACAGTATTTGAGAAATAACTCTCGATCAGCGCATTGAAATATAATTTGTAAATAGATAATTTTGTTCAGATTTCGATGCTCTATCTTTTGGTATATTACATGAAAAATTTCGTTCATTTGATGTCATCGAAGAAATCTCTACTTTATACAAACGATTTTTGATGATATTTTTCAAATATCATCGTGAGCACTCGACAGTAAAATTGAGCTAATGTTTCACCAGCTCAACTAAATGCGCTAACAATTTGGATTTAGAGGTTTTAGATGATGCTGGCCAAGATAAAGACATCAAATCAAAGAACTAAATTTCGATGAGTGCTTCGATTTCTCGATTGTCTCATGAGTGCTCTCTTAAATGTCTCTATATCACATTGTATCACGCGAGATGGATTTATAAAATTATTTAATTCTTGTAAATAATAATAAACAGTCATAATCATTGATTTTCTTGTCACCAATTTACAATTAAAGCTTTATAAAACAAAATTTGATGAATTTCTAATAGAAATAGCATTTATTTATAATTAGTCATTTGTAAATGTCTAGTTTATTATTGATTAATTAATGGTGGTCGTCCTGTAACCATATTAGTTTGGTTCATTATAATCTGCACTCGATTCTTATGACCAAATATTTTACCAAAATAAGATTCAGTAAAGAGACTATGAAGTTTGTGCCTCATATCCGGCATAAATAAAAGGCAAATAATTGGTAGAAATAATGTTTGTATATATGGAACATAGACAAAATATGTTGAAAGTAGATAAGATAATTCTTGTGTATTTTCAAATATTTGAATAAGTCCAATTGTAGTATACGGAATCCAACCAATAATATAAAGCAATGAAGCAGCAATTAATTGTGCACTTAATTTAAGTGAACGACGCTACAAAAAAAAAGAAAGAAAAAATTTATTTAACAAAAATTGTATTCTTTTTATAATCTTACCCATTGCTGAGTTCTATTAATGGAAACGACAGCCCTTTTCATTCGATGTTTTTGTACAAGATGACGCATAATTATGATAATATTAATAATAAACGTAATAAATACAGTACTCAATATATTTCCAATCCAATCAATTAAACCAAGGGCGAGTTCAAATTGATAACATGCACCACCGCAAACATACCTATGAACATCATAAAAGGGTTGACATGTATGCCATACGATTGAAGAAAGATAAAATAATGGACCATATAAAACAATACATCCAATAGGACCATAATGTAATAAGACATAACGTTTCGTAATAACTCTTTCATGATAAATAAATAAATAACGTTCAATTGATGTCCAAGCCATTAATGCGATACTTAAGAAAAAAAGTGAGTAGTTTAAAGTAATCCATGCTGAACATATATTTTCTGAAGGAATGGCTTCTTCATGTAGAAAAATAAGGGTAATAGGTAATTCAATAATGACGATTAAACCATTGATAATAATTAGAATACCATATATTTGACTGTGCAAGCGACCCCATTTGAAATAACACAACCTAAAAATTTAAGAGAAATTTTTGTTTTTTCATTAAATTATATTTACATGAAAATTGTACAACAAATTGAAGGAATTTGGAGAGTGAGTAATACATAGAATTTAACATTTCGTTCAAATAATGGCATCCTAAATGGATTGTCATTATAAGATGTTTCAGTAGATTCATTGCTCGTATTGACTTCCATTGAAAATTCTACAAAATTAACGCACTTTGTTTAGTTCAATTCAGTCAGTATAAGAAATACGCAATTAAAAAAAATGGTTCTTTATTATGACAAACATGTATATGACATATCTTATTATTTTTCTATTAAGGTCTTAGATAAAATATGAGTTTGCATTTTTTTTTCTATGCAATAAGAGAAATTCGCATCATCTAATAAAGTATTAAAAATATAAAATCTGTAATATTGTCTATCATACTTTATGTCAAGAGTATGTCTTTGGTATGTAATAAGATTTAGATGTGCATCTAAAGGATATTGTGATGATTTACTTACCAAACACATTGAAATTATGTGATATTTTCAGAACTTGTTATCGTTGTGATGCAGAGGCTATGATAAAATTTTTACTCCTATAACATGACGTTTATGTTAAATATTCACCAAATAAAGTTAAAAAATAGCTCATTTGATATTCCAAAATTTTCTGTGATCCTTCATTCTATATATTTAATTAACTTTTTGTTTGAAAGAGCACGTCAAAATCTAGACTATGACAAATCCGTTTTGTTTTATTTCTTACTTTTTAAGCGGAGAAAAAGGAAGACAAATTCAACAACTGCAAAATTTTCAAAATCTAGCACTCTAATTATATAAGTGTTTGTATATATAATAAGAACAAAGCTTAATTTTGAAAAAAAGAACTCGATCATGTCTTGCATTTTGACATGCTTTTTCAAACAAAAAAATACATTAAATTATTAGAATGAGGGTCTTTCGAGAATTTCAGAATGCGTAATTCAAAATATATAGACGAAAAAACGACGAAAAAGCTTTTTGATTTCTTTAGAAAAAGCCTATTTTTCGAGCAAAAGATGGTGGAAAACATCAAAAAGTTTTACAAAAAGCGAGATGTCAGAGAACAGCTTGCCATTTGATAGCTCGTTTCGTCGAGTGATAGATATATCCGTTTATTTTAACACATTCAACCGGATGAGACCCACCGGGGGGTCTCACTATATTTTAACAAGAAATTTAGTAGAAAAAAACTTTCTTTTCTGGTTTTCTTAGACAAAAGGTTACACATCATATGTCATCTACCCTACTTTCGCTGTTGTTGAAATCATTTATTGCATAGCGTGACGCTTCTCGTTAAAATAATCAACACAAAAACAGTTGTCACAACCACAACAGAAAGTTTTTATTTTCTTTGCTGTCGTATCACTTGCTTCCCATGATTGTTATTGCCTGATTTGTTCATAGCATCCAGCACAGTGCTTCCAGACAGTGCGCACACACTACAACGAAGGAAGACAAGATAATGATTTATCAGATCAGCTATCAGCATGTTATACATGTCTCAGACGGTGAACACAATGGTACCGAAAGGTGACATATGAATTGATTTTTGGCAGGACAATAGTTCATAGCTATTTGATATATAAGAAAAACTATTCTACAAGCAAAGTGATCATTCTGCAGTTCCCTGAACAGTCCTGTGCGATATTTATTGCTTGGCATGCCATTCGAGAAGTTGAAACCTGGTCCCGAACAAAAATCAAGAAGTCAGCCGAAGCGTAAACTTGCTGACCACCAGTTCGGACAAAAGAAAGCATCTGCGCGCTCCGTCCGAAGACGCTGTACTGACTGCTATGAACAAACCAGGCAACAACAATCATGAAGTGTTTTTCCACTAAGTTTCTTGTTAAAGTATAGTGAGACTCACCAGTGGATCTCATTGGGTTGAATGTGCTCAAGAAACGTATCTTATATATATATATATATATATAAAATGTCCTTCAAGGACATATATTTAATGCATCACAGAAAAAGAAAAGAAAAGAAAAGAAAAGAAAAGATTAAACAACAAACAAAGAGAAACGAAAGCGTCAAGGGATAGAGTGAGCAGAATCCGCTACTAATAGTCCTTCCCCCTTACAAGAGATATGTGTCCCCACACATTGATGTTCTTTAATCGAAGAAGAACGTTGTTGTCCAACAGCTTTTATAATAAAAATAATAGCCTGATCAGTTTCGTCATCTGTTGTCATATAACTTGTGCTTAATCATATAATTTGAGGTGTTGTTGATATTGTTCGATATTGCGTATCTTCATGACATGCATTACCTGTTGAAAAGGTAATCGATCACTTTATTAATTAACTCATTGTTTAGCATTCATTCCCGAAAAAATTAAACTTAATGTATTTGGTAAACATTGATCAGTTCCATTTTGAATAATAAATTTTGATCATTATTCTGATTGGGTGTGGGTGTTATTCTCTTGTATTCGACCTAATACCCACCCACACTCACACCCACACTCTAGGAGTACTCGTGAAACACTCATTATTTTAAGGTAAGTACTCGATGGTCGTACTCAGAATCTAGCGCGATTACTCGATGGTCGT